GGACAAAACGACAACCAACAAATTGGGAAAAGATCTTTACCAATCCTTCATCTGATAGAGGGCTAATATCCAATATATACAAAGAACTCAAGAAATTAGACTCCAGACAACCAAATTACCCTATTAAAAAATGGGGTATAGAGCTTAACAAAGAATTTTCAACGGAAGAAACTCAAATGGCCGAGAAGCATCTAAAGAAATGTTCAGCATCCTTAGTCGTCAGGGAAATGCAAATCAAAACAACCCTGAGATTCCATCTCACACCAGTCAGAATGGCTAAGATTAAAAACTCAGGTGATAGTAGATGCTGGCGAGGGTGTGGAGAAAGAGGAACACTCCTCCATTGTTGGTGGGACTGCAAGATGGTGCAACCACTTTGGAAATCAGTCTGGCGGTTCCTCAGAAAATTGGACATAGCATTACCTCAGGATCCAGCTATACCACTCCTAGGCATATACCCAGAAGATGCTCGAACATATAACAAGGACATATGCTCAACTATGTTCATAGCAGCCTTATTTATAATAGCCAGGAGCTGGAAAGAACCCAGATGTCCTTCAACTGAGGAATGGATTCAAAAAATGTGGTATATTTACACAATGGAGTATTACTCAGCTATTAAAAACAATGAATTCGAGAGGTTCCTTGGTAAATGGATGGAACTAGAAATTATCATCCTGAGTGAGGTAAGCCAATCACAAAAGAAGACACATGGTATTCACTCACTGATTATTGGATATTAGCCTAGAACCTTGAAATGCCCAAGATGCAACTCACAGGCCACATGAAGCCCATAAAGAAGGAAGACCAAGTGAGGGTGATTTGGTCCTTCTTAGAAGGAGCAACAAAATACTCAAGGGAGCAAATATGGAGACAAAGTGAGGGACAGAAACTGAAGGAGGGGCCGTCTCAAGACCACCCCACCTGAGTATCTATCCCATGTGCAATCACCAAAGGTAGATGCTGATGTGGAAGACAGGAAGTGCATGCTGATAAGAGCCTGATATGGATATCTCCTCAGAGGCCTTCAAGAGTCAGACATATTCAGAGGCAGATGCTCACAACTAGCCATTGAACTGATCATGGGGTTCTCAATAGAGGAGTTAGAGTGAAGACTGAAGGAGCTGAAAGGGTTTGTGGCCCCATGAGGAGAGCAACAATACCAACCAACCACAGCTCCCAGGGTCTAAACCACCAGCCTGGGAGCACTTAGGGGGGGATCCAGGGCTTCAGCTGAATATGTAAAAGTGGAGGGCCCTGCTGGGCATAGGTGGAAGAAGAGAACCTTGACCTCATGAAGGCTGGATGCCCCAGGGGGTGGGAATTTTGAGGGTGGGGAGGTGGGAGTGGGGGGGGTGTAGATAGAGGTTACATCCACAGAGAAGAAGGAGGAGGGGCGAGGGGATTGGGGGTTCCGAGGGGGTGGTGGGGGATGGGGTAAGGGGACAACATAGGAAATGTAAATAAATCATCCAATAAAAAGAAAAGAAAAAAAAAGTACAGTGGCAAAAAAAAAAGGAAGGAATTGATGGAGAAAGATATCAGTTTATGGTTCAGCTTTCCATATTCTCTCATTCTCTTCATAATGTATGTATGAGGATATACATACATACATTGTGTGTGTGTGTGTGTGTGTGTGTGTGTGTGTGTGTGTGTGTGTATTTCAAGGCTTTCTGTAAGCAGTGGTTCTGCTGTGTGTTTTCACAGTGACTTTCTTGACATTTCACAGAATTATCCACATCTGGTCAGTAATGAGTGTATGCTCATGTTCACCTTTTATCCCAACCACTTCTCAGCACTACCTCTGTGGCATGATATGCAATGTATAATGTCATTAGTGATGATTTTAGTGATATGTGCCTCTATTAGAATAGTAGCATTTACCTTTATTCTAAGCACTTGGACTTGGTATGGGACTTAATTTAAAACAGAGGTTAGTTGGTTACTCCTCCAAGCTTTACACTATCATATCTTAAAAGCTGAACACGTGTGTATGTGTGTGTGTGTGTTTGTGTGTCTGTCTGTCTGTTTCTCATGGTTTAGCTTTATCTTTGTGTATTTGTCTTGCTTTGTTTGCTTGCTTAATTTTCATGTTTGTTTTGTAAAAAAAAGAAAAGGAAGCCAAAGAGTTGGATGTTTGGGCAGGTATGGAAGATGAGGGAGAAGACAACACAGAGAAAACTATGATTACAATTTATTGAATGAAAAATGTATTTTAAAAAAGTTTTCATGGGCTGGACAGAAGGCTCAGCAGTTAAGAGCACTCTGGGCTCTTCCAGAGGACCTAATTTTAATTCCAAGTAACCACATGGTGGCTCACAGCCATCTCTACTGGGATCTTATATCCTCTTCTGGTATGTAGGATTACATAAAGATAGAGTACTCACATACATTAAATAAATAAATAAATAAATAAATAAATCTTTTAAAAACATGTTATCATAATGAAACAATTCTCAAAAATAGAATGTGGCTTGTTTTCAGCATACTAATAGATTTTAACATAGTTAACCCTCTCCCTTATCTTTGTAAGTTTACAGCTTGTGTAGTATAAAAGGATTGGTTAGTGAGAGGTGACAATATGAAAAGCATGTAGCAGAGAAAGTCTTACACATTTAAGAAAATGTATAGTATATAAGAAAAGAAACCAATTAAAATGTGTTCTGAGTACAAGATATCTTTTATGAAATAATGATAAATTATCAAGAAGTAGGTACTCATAAATGTGTGGGATTTGCATAATACATGGTTTCAAATGAAGGAATACAGACCAATTTATCCAAGTGAAGAATTATAAACAGAAATGTATGTGAAGCATTATTTAGACATCAATAGTCAAAGAAAGATATGAGCACGGGTTCTGATGATTGGATACAGCTGATCACCAAGCTTTCTTCAGAGAATTAATGGAAGCTTAATATAATTATCTGCTATCAGGCATATCCAGCTGACTGTTATGTGACTTTGGTTATGATATTTAAATTGGTCTTTATTCTACTATAGTATGCAGGTCTGACTGGAATGGACAGTGCTTAATCCAGCTTAAAGACTTCTATGTAATTAAAAGCAAGTAGATTAATCTGTAAAATGCACTTTTCTTCTAGAATGTGCTTTGTCCCTGATGTAATGAAGTGAGATTCTGTCTGGTCTTAACAAAATAATATGGCACTTTGGGGCAAAGATGCAGCCTAGGATCCCTGCACTGGAAGCCATGATAGAGAGGATTTCCATGGTCACCATGACCCTACCCTTGGTGCTATAGTAGACAGGGAGGAATGTGACCCATACACTGAGGAACACCAGCATGCTAAATGTCAAAAACCTGGCTTCATTAAATGTGTCAGGCAGCTTCCTGGAAAGATAGGCCATAGCATAGCTCCCAAGTGCCAAAGAGCAGAGGTATCCCAGGATGCAGTGAAAGGCAACAACTGAGCCTTTGTTGCAGACAATGATGATGTATCCATGTTCAGAGTGAGCATCCAAGTCGACAAAGGGAGGAGAGGTGTACAGCCAAATTCCACAGAGCAAAAGTTGAATAAAGGTGGAGATGAGAATAATGAAATTAGGGGCCTTTGATATCATTAACCACCTCATCATCTTCCCAGGAACAGTAACTTTGAAGGCCAGAACAACAGTCATGGTTTTTGCCAAGATTGTGGAGAGAACCACTGTGAACAAAACTCCATATGTGCTCTGCTGTAGGATACATATGGCTGTGTTGGGATACCCAATGAAGAGCAAGGGACAAAGAAAACAGAAGGTCAGAGTGAGGAGCAGGATGTAAGTGAGAGCCTGGTTATTGGCCTTGACAATGGGAGTGTGGTGGTACTTCACAAAGATACCAAGTACAGCAGTTGTGAGTACAAAGAAGCCCATGGTCATGCAAGAGAGAACCATTCCCAAGGGGTCTTCATAGGCCAGAAATTTCAAGGCTTTCTGTAGGCAGTGACTCTTCTCTGTGTTTGCATAGTGACTTTCTGGACATTTCACACAATTATCCATATCTGATCAGGAAATGTATCATGAGTGTATGCTCAGGTTCACCTTTTATCCCAAGCCACTTCCCAGCACTAGCTCTTCTCTTTTCTTTGTTGTTTCAGACTCAAGTAAATTAGTGTTCAATAGTGAAAATTCTCAAGTGCTCTGTAATCAATAATTCCAAATTGATACTCCTCGTTGTCTTTATTGGGACATGAAATGAATAATTCTATTCTCTTCATTTTTGTAATTAAATATCTTTTTTAGTATGAATATATCAATAAATCTCAAAACATGGTTCCTTCACACCCTAGACCATTTATCTTCCCAGATAAAAGACACACACAGCTTTTATATTTTAATATGCCTTAAGCAGCACAATAGTTGGGCATCTGCCTAACATCCATGTTGTTACAATCTACTTCTAACCGTAAGCCTATTGTTACTTACTAATTTCTAAGTTCTATCTTGGCTGTGCATGACCCAATTGAGCAGCCCTCTGGGTCATGTTCTCTTGGCTTTTTCACATGGCAGCTCTGGTTCTCCTTCCTGTACCTTTTAGTTCTCCCATGGCTGCTCTCTTGTCTTTTTTCCTGCACCTCTCCTAAGACATGGCCCTCCTTTTCTCTCCTTCCTCATTGTCCCAAGCCCTGGAAATTGAAAACATGCCTATGTTTCTCCTTTCCAGCTGTTGGCTGCTGGCATCTTTATTTACTAATCAGAATTAACTGGGGGCAGGTTCCCAGAAGCTATGTATAAACCCTCTCTTGCAAAAAGTTTCGGGGAACCAAATTAGCTTTAGAATACAAACAGCTACATATTTGCTTCTAAGTGATAAAATTCACCTATTTATGTGTCACAGATTATTGAATTAAATTACACAAACCTAACTTAATAGAATTATCTCCTTGTGAAAACACCTCCAGTGTGACTTGGACATGTAGTCATTTGTCTCTATAATTAATAATGATTCTATTAACACATTATATAAAATAGTCATTTGTATATAAGGAGTTAATCAGTACTGCCAGATTATTTATGCTTAATTTAATAAAATAAACTTGGAAGTGATACAACTCAAGATTCAATTTCATGATACATAGGCATTTATTGATTTAAAATTTTATCTCTGCTCAATCAAAGAGTCTCATGATAGGATTTTTACATACTTCCTTAATTTATATTTTGTGGTCCACAACATTTATCTATGTTTTAGACATATTCAACTCTCCAAAGATTCTATGTATAATATTTTAAATAATATTTATTCGCCTTCTTTTGTCTGTGAGTGCTTATAATCAAGGGATAAGTCAAATACATTTCTCATCACGTTTGGTGAGTCTGGAATCATGACTGAAATTATAAATGTAAGAATCATCCATATCTAACAACTAATTTGTGCTAATTATGAACTAAATTTGCTTTTTAAAATGTGCAAAGTTGGTATTTTATTTTCTCTGTGTTATATGTCATGGTAAAATAAAGTAGAATACTCTGGGATAGACAAAGATGTTCTCTGCAGGGAAGAAAGCATAACAGGGACAAAACTAATTGATCAAGTATGAATCTTAATGGCTAGTCTGTCATTTAAAGTGATAATACAATAAATTAAATTATTTTTACTTTAAATGAAAGAGCAGGACTAATAACTGCTGTTCCTTCACAAAACTGTTCCATTAGCTTAGACATTGAACACTATGTATAGATGGGAAAATTCTCAGTGAGACTGATATTTACCTGTTTCATTGGAAATCTCATTATCTGCACAAGGAGTACAATCATAGCAACAGGCAGCCTGACCCTCCTGTGGGGATTTTCTGAATCCAGAAACACAGCTCTCACTGCATACAGAGTGAGGAACCTGAGTTAAATACAAGAGAGTAAATGCTCACTTGTGGACAGTTTTAAAACAATAAACAGATTATATTTCACTATTTAACAATGCGAAAATTTTTATGTTTATAACATCAAATTATTGTTTGAATGCTTCTAGTTTGAAATGCTCTATGAAGTTCAATATGTTAAAATCATGATCTGAAGAATTAAAAAATCTCTAAACAGTTGTATGAGTGTAAAAGATAGGGAAAAATAAGAGGATATTAGGTCACTGAATTCATGTCTATAAGGACAACTAGAATGCTGTAGTGGTTCTACTGTGAGCTCTCTAACCATTAGAAGAGGCAGCCTTTTTATAAACTTCACATTCATTAGGCCTTTCTGTGAAAGATGACCTACATTAGAGTAATTGAAAAGGCAAGATATAATCTAAATTAGGTACCAAAATTTTGTTGGCTGTTCTTGTGGACAGTATGAAAAACAAAAAGGATTGTGAAGAGCAGTAATCACCTATAATCACTTCTGACTGAAGAACCAATGTGAAACACCTTCTCAGGGTTCTACAGCCATTACTGTGTGAATCTTGATGAACTACCTCTGTTATATGAAACCAAATTGAAGTCTATTCTTAAGCTGCTTATATCTGGTGTGCACTTTTGAATGTTTGATCAACTCTTTCTTTTTTCAGCAATAAGTCATGTAATTAACCCATGCACATGTGCCTCCCATGATAAAGTACATTTTCAGGGGCCTTAAAACAAAAAGCAAATGATATTAGCCAATGCATTGATATTTTCTAATCTTGGAGTCAAATCAATCCTCTTATCAGCATGATTTCAGCGTAAGTATGAAATATTAATGCATAAACTTTGTATTTATTACTTGAAATAGTTACCCATGGGAGAAGTGAATGAAAAAAATTAACAATCACATTTCTCAGAATATGAGAACAAAATTTTTATATTGCAGGATTGTTTTTTTGTTTGTTTGTTTGTTTGTTTTTTGTGTATATATTGATGAGTTCTTTAGAAAGAAACAGAAATCTTTACATCTAGAAAAATGTTTATATACATAAAAATCTATGTAATGAGATAGGATCCAACATACATCTTTAAATCCCATAGCCCACTGTATCATATGGTCAGCCAAAAACAGTTGTTGACCCTGTGGAGCTTTTGGAGAAAATGTTCCAACTTTCAGCTTTTGTCGGAGACCATTTGGAAAATTCCAGAAGTTGAGAATATCATACTCTTCATCTAATTTATTTTGTGGATCCATAACCACTTCATTTCCAGCACCATTTTTGAAATGGATGTTCTTGAGAAAATGGTGGAGCTAGGGAGGTGAGGCAGGAGGGGAGGGAGTATGGCATACAGAGTTTGCAGAGGGAAAACGGGAAGGGAGATAACATTTGAAATGTAAATAAATAAAATAACCAATAAAAAGTTTAAAAGAAGAGTTGCAGAATCTTATGAATTTATTTCCAGAAATGTTCAACAGAACCTAATGAAATAAAGACTCACAACATTCCTGTTGTGGAAACCAAGCTACAACAAGCTGTTACCAATTCTAATGAAAACACCCTAAGTGGCATTATCATGTTTCTATCCTGTCAGTCAGTCTCAAAATAAAGCATACACATACACACACACACACACACACACACACACACACACACACACACATATATATATATATATATATATATATATATATATATATATATATATACACACAAACACACACAAACCAAAAAACCAAAAACTAGAATTAACCAATTAATATTGATTATGGCAAACTTATTTCTCCAAAACTGAAATGCTAGTCACATCAATTATTTAAGGAAAATATTCATTAATTTGTAAAATTCAGTGTTGATTTACAAAGTATAACAAATTGACAGTTAGCTAACAGACATTCCTTTTGACTTTCAACCTTAAGTGTCTTGTAACATTTTACCATTTAGGAGCTAGTTCTATTTCTGTTCTGAAATGTATTTAGCGATAGTGGAGTTTCAAATTGAGTATGCTATCATCAGAAAATTCTGAGGTTATTTTAAAACAAAATTGGCATTTTTTTTATTGTTACTTATTCATCATGGACATTGACACATGTGTTCACTATGATGTTTAGAGAAGTAACTATATACTGTCTCTCATATCTTTTTGGTAATCTGACATGAAGTATAATAGTTTATTGAATGCTTTGATAAGGTCTCAAAATATCACAGTTCTATTGTTAAAATATATAGGAAGAGAAATTACCTCCCATGGGTGGAAATTCTCCTGCTCATTTCCATGAGGTTGAATTTGTACTTGTTTGAGAGTCATCTCATGGAGACTGTGAGCTACAGCATACACAGAATTATATATATTGTAACCCTCTTCAGTCATATCCATTTCCCATATATTTGTAGGCAAATATTCCAAGGAAACATTGGGCAGACAGTTATCCAAAATTCTACAGTCTTGTAAAGAAAAAGAGCAATTGAAAAATTTACTCCACAAAAGAGCAAGATAATGATCATCTGGGTATTTGGAAGGGTTATATGTCTGGATAAAATTTCTAAAATCAGCAATCTCATTATGATGGTGTGCAAAAAAGAGACTCCCATGCAATGAGTCAAACAAGAAATAATCATGAGTAGCAGCTATATCCCACTGTGAATTCATGACCCAGACTTTCCATGTTATAACCAATTGCATTAGATTTAGCATTGCAGTATGTAAAGATTCAGTGTCTTCATAAACAATAACCACTTTTGCAGATGATATCATGATCCACTTGAGAGTTTCTTTGGATGCATAGTCAAATGCAATCAGGTTTTCTGGCATCATTTTTACAAAAGCTACACACACCTTATTCCTGTACATCTCTGCCCTCAAGTCTGATAGAATCTGAGTTCCTTTGTGGTTATCTAGGAGGACAAGCCCCACCCAGGTCCAGCTGAAATGAAGCATCAAAGAGACAATGCCAAATGACAGTGATGTGTCTTTTGAAGCTGTCTGGTAGAGAGCAGAGAACTGGTCTTGGTCACTCAGGATACTGTCAAATGGTCCAAAACTAAGCTGAAGAGAATTTTAAATCAGAAACAAAATACTGATATAAAAGCAAACTTAGACCTTAGGGAGCACTTGTGACTGATAGGGACTAACTTCTGTTTGTGATGTTTTAAATCCCCTTCTAATTCCTAGAGACTTTTATTGAGAAATCTTGACAATACGCAGTTTTAGAAAACCCCATTGAAGGGTCCAATCACTTCTCTTCTCTATCTCATGTAATGTCTTTGAGGCCTCATAAACAAATATCTGATTTCTTACCATTGATATATGAGAGTTTTGTCTCTCTCCTTTACATATGAAAACACATGAAATGTCAGCAGTTTAATACTGGCTTATTTCCTCACAGTCATGTCCCTCACCTGTGGATATTTGTAGAGACTCAGCAGTCTCCCAATACGTGCAGATATTGCCCATGATGTTCCTGTAAGTATAGCAACAGCCTTGTTCTTTCTTCTACATGCGTAATTAGGAATGTTTATCCCCATTCCTGTGAGCCAAATAAAAGCTTCCTTCAGAATATTCCATTCACTTCTTTGGACATTATAGAGATCAAATCCTAGAGATATGTTGGGTAAAAGTTCAGGGTTCCTGTTTATCTCTTCAGTGGCAAATATGACAGCCAAGGTACACTGGTAGTTCTTCACCTTGAACCTGCAGAATGTATTTGTCAATATTGAGGAAGATGACTTATATCATGCTGCCTACCATTTTGATGAACTCACTTTTATAATTTCAATGTTGTATTTCAATGAACAAATAATTTTTTGCCATTCCAATATTGGTTACAATTTGAATGGCCATTATACAGAGCAAGTGATAGTTTAACTACCAGAAGTCTAGGGTAAATTTACAAGTTCTGGGCAGGAAAGTTGTATTGAAGCAAATGGACTTCTGACATGTATAAAAGGAGATCCACATTTATAAATCCACTGTATTTTGACAGATTAGGGAAATAATCAATAAACAGTATCTTCCATTCCCAAATACTAACTTTTAATACTATAAACCACCACACTCTACTCCCGCATTGAGAAATTCCTTGGAGAAATTGCAGCTCTTTTGTGTTTCTTATTAAAGAATAATGCTGCTTATAGAGATTTGTGCCTTTGACTATTATTTCCAGGTCACATCAATCAGTTTCACATTGGCATGTGTATCTGAATCTTGTAGTGGTTTGGGATCCTTGCTGACAGCAAGTCATTCTGTGAAACATTTTCTTTATTGATTGCTATCTTCTATCCTTTCTGAGATTGATACAATCAAGAGACTGATAGCTGAGTGAGTTCACTATGAGGTCACAACCCTCAGTCATGTGGGAAATCAGTCGTGTTTCCTCCTCATCTGCCTTACTCTTTCTCTTTCTCTCCCACTATCTCCTTACACAACTCAAAGAAAATGGATCACACAGGGACCTCAAATTCTCTGATGGAAGAAGTATTTACTTTGCCATGGGGCTGTTTTTACATAGAGCAGATAACAACTACTTCATTTACTGTATACTTAACTTGGGGTTGCTCATTAAGATGAAAGCAACTATGAGACTTGGCAGCCATCTTTGATAATGATATTATAAAAAAGATACATGCTACATGTCTTCATATCTTCACTAGAGGTGAACTAATATAATCAGAGCAAGACTTCTTAAATGTTATTATATCTTCATAAAAAGAAGAAATGATAGGCCAATATTTTTAGAAATTTGGAGGGGATATCTATGAAGAAAACGCAAAATTCTTTTCATACATACTGAGTAAAAAAAAATTAGTAATTCTGAGTCACATTCTCTCATCAGAAACCCATTTACCACTTTTCTGTAAGTAAACACAATGAATTTGTTAGTTCCTTAGAGTAACCTATGATGAAATGGGAACTTGATGTCATTAAGAACTTAAAATGAAGAGATAAATACTGCTTACTCTTCACCTCAGTGTAAATATTGGCACAATAGATTGCGGAATTTTTTTTGTTAAACCTAGTATGTCTTATGTTATTAACAAAGAAATAATAAAATGTTGTAAAGATGGAAATTTTTTAATAAAGAAGAATTTATGTATAAAGATTAGGATAGATTAATGTTTCCAAAATGGGGAGAGGGTAAGAACTACAACTCCTTTTCAAGGTATGGACACATACTGAGTTACTTAAGGTACATAGAGTATGGGATTTGAAGGTAATATAAATTGGCTGTGATATAAGGTGAATTCTGTCTTTTGCTGAGTCTACAATGAGGAAAGTTAAAATGCAGAGATGATTCTCTCGGTGCTCCTGAAGGAAGTCACAGTCAAGCCAAACAAAGCTATTGACTTATCTTTACTAAGAGGTACCATAGTACAAGGAAAGGCTAGAAGAATCGAAGATTCCTCACAAACCCAAGTGAACACTTAGCCCTGAGTTTTTTCATAGGCATTGCCAGAAAAAACAGAAGTAATTTTTGCTAAATACATAATATTAAGCATGAAGTAAAGTATGATTACCTTTGAAACACTCAATATGTCTCCATAGAAATTTAATGGATGGTGGTCCTCAACTATTATGCTTAAGTATATGAAATGCTATTTAGCCAGCAACATCTCACTACTGATTTTCTTTTTGATACATGTATACCTCAGTATTCCAGATAGAAGACAAGACTCTGTCTTGCTTCAGCACAATAGTGTCTATGAAGAGATGAGGCACAACAGGCTACTTTTTTAAACATTCAAGTAAAATATAAAGGTTATGATTATCAACAATGAAACACCATCATTTTCTTAAAGAGTATTTCTCACAGATAGAATGTGTCCTACATGCTTCTGTGCCAAGTCCATTTCCAAAAGAGCCATTTTCCCAACATATAATGACTATAAAATACTTATTTGTTACCTATATCCTCTCTTCCTCATTTTTCTACTTCAAGCAAGAAACTTTTTTCTCTAATTTTTACTTATTTTATTATATCCAGTATAGGTTTCTGAGGCTTTATTTTGCTCAACAGGGTGCTTCTTTCTGTGTTCACTTTTTTCAGATGTGGCAAGATGGAAGCCATTACAAGTGGTTCCTATATTCCTTTGACTCAACCTCATCACTTTTTATGAAAACATCTTTACTTTCTGGTATAATGATATTTTACCATTAACCTCTTTTTTTAGTGTTTAAATCAAAATTTATTTATATTATAAAAAATTTTACTTCAAATGAGCAGACAGTCATAGTCTCAAACATTAGAACAGCATAGTTTTTGGTTAAGCACTGACTAGAGATGGTCAGAGACTCCACAGGTTAGAGACCCCACAGGTTTCCCTGAAAGGGACAGCATACATTTCACCGTGCTCCCAGACTCTAGGCTCCTGACATGAGGCCAAAGACCTCCGTCAATCCACGCCTTTCAGGAGTGTAAGACAACACACCTACTAGCCCCTCCACAGGTAGACTACAGGCCACAAAGCCTCAAGACATATCTCCATATTAATGAGTTACATAAAGGCCAGAGGGCATAGCCAATTAAACATTTCTTCCCAGACCCTCCTCCTTGCAAAAGGTATTTAACCTCATGCCCGCCCTGAGACTACTTGGGTATAGTTTCATCCATTTTCCACCATGACAATAAACATTTTAAGACCATGGACTGTCTCTCTTCCTTGAGACCCGCCGTGAGGAATGGTGGAGAAGGTTTTCAACTACCAAGCGGCTGCCTAATCTCCCACTGACAACCTCTCTACGTTCCCAGACATGGAGGCCCAGTCACCCAAGCAGGCAAGCGAGCCAGCTGTGACCCAGCCAAGTGAGTCACCCCAACCAAGAATCTCCTCCCCATGGGACACATCCAGAGCTTCTCTCACTCCCCGTGGGACCTCAGTCTGTGTTCCTCACCCCCAAGTGAGTCCCTCAGCTTCACATAGCCCAACGTCTGCCCAGCACCAGCATGGAGTGAACACAGTCAAATTCCCATACCTCTGCCTCTCTGAGCTGCTACCCTAGCTGGTTGTGGGGCAGACATGGGACCCACAATTCAACCCAGCAAAAGACACACATGCACACTATAACCTAACAAAAATTGTATTATAGATGGACTTAAAATTTTGTTTTTAAAAAAAGAATTGTCATTTCTATAATTATGTGTATTTACAAGTCCTCCATCTCATATATATATATAATCAACCAGCAGATGCTTTAAAATATTTTCAGAATTTCTGATCATCAGGAAAATACAAAACAAAATATTTAAGAATGGAATTTTTCCGGTATTTTGAGCACAGCCATAAAGGTTCAAAATGCACAGATAGAGCAGTAGATAAAAAATGAAGGGAGGAAATGACTGCTGACTCTTAATATTTCCTTATTTAAATCAATTACATTGAAAATCTAACTGCATAGAATGCATTAGTAACTCATTTACAAAGAAAAGATGAAACAGTAAATAAATTAATATGTTGTTAAACCACTAATATTTAAGGGAAAATAAAAATTTCCTATAATTTAAACTATTAATAAGGTTTAATGAAGTAGAAGAATTGACATACTCACTTCTGTAATTAGAAACTATGTATACATTACAAAATAATTAAGAAAAAATGCTTACATAAAGATATATCATGAAATCCATATTTTTTCAGTAAAAGGAAAAATGACATTATAAAAACGTTATATTCTATCACATGAATTAATGCTCATTGGGAAGAAAACACATGCATCAGATTAAAAATCATTATGAAGTCCATGTTTTCAAGTAATATACTCATTAAAATCATACATATGTGTCACATTCTGACCACCACACTTGTGCTCATTCTTGTACAAAAGCAAGTTTGATATGTTCGGTTAACTATATTTTTCAGTACATGTGAAAAAATGATGCTCACCCACACAAGTAGAGATAATTCCTGTTATTAGTCTCCTAGAGGGACATTACTGTCTGTGTTTATCACCTTTTAATTTATCACAACATGAAAAAAATCTAATTAGAGATGAAGCCACAAAATTACTGTAATAGAAATATTGCTGGCCCCACATTTAATGACCTTTTAGTCATGATGATCAGAATGAACATGTCTATGTACATCCAATCAAAATTTTAGGAAAATAAACTGAAGAGGGCAAAAGGCAAAAGAAACCCACTTCCCTCATATAATCACGTGGGCATGAAACTATAGTTGAATTTCTGTGGACATTTTGGCTGTGCCCACTTCAGCCTAAGTTATCAAGATATACTTTGTATCTACATTTCTTGTATTAGCATTTTACCAGATCTACTGTTCCTCAGGTAGTGACTTAGCACGTCACACAGATTTTTAGAAAAAAAGACAACCATATCACAAGGACCTAAATTTATCTTCACTCATTAGTTTCTGTCTTTTACATTTATCTTCACTCCCAGTACCTATCTGCATTTCCATTTTACATCATAGTGTTCTAAACTGAGTTGAACTCACACTCCTCCATTTAAGATCTTAATGTACAGATCTACAGCTGCAGAAGTGTCTGTATGCATTAAAGCAAATTTTACTTCATTCACAAAGAATCTTCTTTAGGCATTTTTTTCTCCAGCAGAATCCAAGTAATTGTGCCAATTTGTCTGTCACCATCCTTTAGTTCTACAAGTTATGAAACTGACTAGTCAACCCTCAATGGCCAAAATCAATAACAATGTTTTTCCTTGAACATATCTCTATAAGTTTATAAATACTTAGATAGAGGAATCAAGTGGGGAAAATGAGGCAAAATTGACAAAACTGAAAGTTTTCTAATCAAAATTAAAGAAAAAATGTGAGTCATCTGAATCCTTTGTAATAAAAGAAGTTCCAAATCCCTTTTTCACATTTCTCCTCTGAAATCAGCAACTGCTAGCAAAGGCAATCCCTGTCATTTGACTATCACATAAGAAACTTTATAGTCACTACAATAATTGGCATTGTTTCTTACAGGAGGACTACACATTGAAAATTGCTTAAAGCAATATGTTAACTTTTTCTTCAACATTCCTTCTGCAGAAAAGACCATGAAAATATTTCACTACTGTTGAGCTAAAGTCAAGACAAAGCAAGTTAGAGAAAAGGCTGACAGCATCAAAATTTTAAATTAAATAAATGAAACAAACTTTTCATTTATTCTTAAGAAAAAAAGGTGAATATAAAAATATACCCCCAAAAAAAGAGGTAAGTGATGACAAGAGAGGGAAGCCTGGATGAACCATAAAATTATATTGGTGTGGATATAAACTTACTTGAGGACAATGGAAATTGAATTCTAAAATTAAATAAAGTTTTAAAAGCACTTACATGGCTTGATACTTTTTTTCAACATTAAAAGCAATCGTTTTGTTTATGATAAAATAATTAAAAAGAGGAACAAATGCAGCAATCACAACATTTCCATCATTGTATCGATTCCACTGTGGTTTAAAAATGCACTGAGAAGTATCAGAGCAGCACACAAGAACAGGTATCTCCAGGATCCAGACGATAAGCATCCAAGAGAACATCACAAAATACAAATGTCTACCACAGAATAAGTATGAGAGATATGGATTTCAAAATATCCAGCAGCTATATTCACAGCTTGTGTGATTGTGAGCATAAGCATTTGAATATTGATGGTGAGTGAAGTCATCACTCTAATCACATATTTTTAGGAAAGCCTCTTGTATTCTATGGAGAATTCTGAAAAACATTATTCCCTGAATATCTCTTCAGAGATATCACATTCAAAATAAAAAACAACGTTCAAAATACCTTTGTCAATCTTCTTTATCCTCAGGCCATATGATTTCATCTATGAGAACAGACAGCAAGACCCCAGGGATGACTCCTCATGAACAGTAGACTTGCAAAGAATTCTGTATCATGGATGATGCAGATATCTTTTAAAGGACACCATGGGAGTTGGAAAGGAAAATATCCAGAAAATATCCAAGCCAGAAAATGGCCCAGTGAACCAAGAGGACATTCTTTTCTTTAAAGATGACTATTACCTATACAAATCTAACTTTTCAATAGCCTGGGGGATACAGAAAGGCCTGTCTGTATGAAATATCCATACCTGCATGTTGATATTTCATTAATGTCTCCCCCCCATACTCCTGGGAAACTAATGGGCTAAATTAATGAGTTTTAAATCAATGGCTTAATATCAATGTTATCATAAGTTTTCCTAATTTCATTCTAAATTCTAACATACTATACTATTATGTCTTCTTTTCATTAGTGAATCATTCATTCAGTGTAAAAATCCTAATTCTTCTCCTCAACATTCATAGTAAGAGCTTCTCTCAATATTCTTTCTATTCAATATTATGTAGTTAAACAAATCCTTCAATTTTCCAAAAGAAGAGCTGGTAAAAGTAGCTCATTGATCTCAGAATGTTAAAGTTTATATCACCTACTGGTTCTTTCCTTCATTCTCTACTTCCTTATCCTCTACCATGAGAATAGTTGCTTTTGACTTCAGCTTTCACTCTCTAAAGCTTATTCTAAATTTCAAATATGTCTTCACTGCAACTATTAACAATGTATTCATTGTTTTCAGACATATAAAGTAAAAGAATCTTACCCTTTCTATATTGTTTTGATTGTGTCTGGTAATTTTTTCTTAGGGAATAGAGAAGCAATTAATATAAATCATTAATAATTGTTACTTCATAGATAAAATAAAGCTATAGCTATATCTCTACTGCTATAAATGTTAGATTCAATTAGTTGGAGAAAATAGCACATTTCTGAAGTTATGTATAAAAGAAATATTTATTTTTTAACTTTGTTGTCTGGGTTAACTGTGGTGGCTAAAATGATATAATCTCATAAAAGGCATTCAAAATAAATATGACACAAATATGACACAGAGAGATATACACAGACAAAGGCACACATACAGGCACATACAAAGAGATAAACAGGCAAACAAACAGATAAATAGAATGAAACCATTTTGTAACAATGAAAGGTATAATGAATAGTGGAAAGTGTTAGTACAGAACTCATACTAATTGCTAGCTATTCATGTCTAAATCTCAAGATTATAATCTAGAAAAACAAGACTTATTCACAGAAGTGTTTAAGACTGAACATATCAAAAGTATATCAATTAATGTCTCACTACAATTACTAAATTTACTACAATTACTAATTTACTAAAAATAAATTTTAATATTACTTTTCTTCTATGAACTGTTTGCAGAGCTATGACTTCCCTTCCAGGGAAACTGTGTTTCCAGGCCTGTTTTCCATGATGTTTTCATTAAATTTTATCAAAGAATGTTTATTTTAAAATAATCTCAACTCTCTTGTTATTATCTATGATTTATTCTGTTTTCTGACTAATAATCAAAATTAACCCATGATTCACTATTAAAAAAACACCCCAACTTTGAATTGTATACATTCATCACCACTGTAGGTTTCAGGAACTCTAGTCCATAGGGTATTTTAAACAAATCTGCTCAGCCCCATGGCTTTATTTCTAATGTAATGTGATTGTAAAATTAATCTTTCTACCACTCTATCCAAAACCCACTTCCTGTTCTTATGTCTCAGTTGTTTTACAAGCTTCTTCAGATCTATCTTTTGTCTGTTCTGGTTCTCTTCAGTAGAAGGCTTGATCTATTATTATGTACAAAAATATGATTAAATTTAAAAGTAATTTTTATTTTCCTCTTCATCACTCAAATTTTTTTAAAATGTTAAAACCTGACCAAAAAAATCATTATTGGCTATGCCAATTCCCAAAGACATAATCCAATTTAAATGAATTCTATTTTAGCTATAAAATTAAAACATATTTCCTTGTCTTCTTGTTATTGACTGATTATAGTTTATGATCTTTAAAAAAATGAGAAAAGACAGATGAGTAGGATAAAGGCACATATTAGTTAAAGTCTTACACACTTATGCACCTATATAGCACACAATAGAGAAGAGAAATTACAAAGAAAGTATCAGCCTTGAATGTAATGCATATCTTTTATAAATTGGTGATATGTTCCTGAGAAATGGCTAGTGATAAATGTGCAGGATTCACCCATTTTATGCTTTCAGTTGAAAGACTATGTATAATTTGAAAAAAAAGTGAAAAATCTTATAGTCGTGAGTTAAAAAAAAGTATACAAAGGTAGAGACAGAGATATATGAAGACAGCTAAACTGGTGACAGTTGGACATTTTATATATGCATTTATAGCTATAACAGAGGCTTCATGTGATTATTGGTAAGCTGTATCATCTGTTTTAGGATTGTTTGACCCTGAGGTTGTAAGAAAAAGACATAAATTACTCTATAAAATAATAGTATTGAATTTATTATGGGTTTCCTTCAGACAGTATTCTACTGATGAAATATTATATTCATTTTTGAATACCATTTTTCACAATAAAAACATAATCCAAAGAAAAACATGATGAAACATACCATTATTATGGTTATATCTATATCTATATCGATACCTATATCATCTATATCTATATCTATATCTATATCTATATCTATCTACAAACTTAGAAAAAGAAAAGGAACACATACATGAACTTTAGTCTTCTTGTGTAAGTAATTAATTACTGTTATAAATAAATAATTACTGAATTAAAATCTACCTTCTATGCTAGAAAAATATGTAAATAATCTAAAAAAATTAGCATGTAAAGTGGACCAGAAAAAAAAAAAA